ACAGGCAGACTGAAACACACTGCTGAGGGGAGCAGCAGGTGAGACAGGAGAGGTCTGCTGCACCATGTGGGTTGCTCCGCGGCCAGCCGGGATCTAACCAGCGCTGCAGAGGCTGTGGACAGCTTCACAGCCCTGTGCTCAACCGCCTGTGCCACCAGGGAGGCCCCCACGCCTGCAGTTAAAAGACTATTTCCTCCTCTGCTTTCCTTTCCTTGGTTTCTCCATTTACAGCTCAGTGAGCGACGTGGAATGCAGAGGTCTTTAAACTATTTTGATTGTTGTGATCCAGCTGAAGGTGGAATCTGACAAGGAGGAGGTCCCAATGACCTCAAGGATAGTTTCAACCTTTAGCTTTATGTTCAATGGGCAGTGTGCAGTGACTTCCAGAGACTGCCAGCTCCAGATGCCTCCATTTTATGAGGCCGAAAAAAAAAAATGATGAAACAACAGAACCACACTCGCCCCCACAAACCCAAAACAAATTCTACAAAAGTCAAAGCCTGCCTCAAAATAAATAGGCGCCCAGGGGAAAAATATATACACATATATGAAAAGTGAACTTTTTTAAATAAGCATTTTTTTAAAGGTTTATTTATTTATACAAGAACTGGGGTACAGGCCAGAGGTGTGGGGGGTGAGAGGATTCACCAGCGACAGAGTGGGGAACACAACAGGCAGACTGAGTGAAATACACTGCTGAGGGGAGCAGCGGGCGAGTCAGGAGAGGTCTGCTGTGCCATGTGGGCGTCTCCCTGGTGGCTGGTATCCAACCGGCACTGCAGAGGCTGTGGACAGCTTCACGGCGCTGCGCTCAACCTGCCTGTACCACCAGGGAGGCCCCAAAGTGAATTTTTTTATCTGGCTCTTGGGGGTCCTGTTCTCCTTACCACAAAAATTACCTAATGGGCAGGAAGCTGAACGGAATCTTACCTAAGCAAAGGTGGAGCCAAATCATGCCAGATGAAATCCTAGTTAAGAATTTCGGACAAGTGTTCTATTCTGAGGTTCCCTGGGTTAATGATATTCATGAGGAACTAAAAGGGTAGGAATGGTCCAAGGGCCAAGGTCATGTTGTAATTTGCATTAATGTTATTATGATCACGGTTTCTGAAATTTTTTTAGGACAAACTGGATTTTAAGTAACCACTTTGTTTTTCAAACTGAGCTTTTCATTCAGCAAATATTCATTTAGTCATTCAACAAAAGTGCCCGTGGTGCTGAACTAACTGGACATACATACAGGAAAAATAATAATTCTGACCCCAACTGTAGAAAAGCTTATTCTGAGGTGAATTATAGCTCTAAATGTGCAAGGTAAAACAATGAAGTTCCTAGAAGAAAATAAAGGAAATGAACTTTATGGCCTGAGGCTGGCAAATATCCAAAAAACAAAAGGCTTTTCTTTTTTCAGATTTTTTTTTTTTTGCATACAGAATCTGGGGTATAGGTCACAGGCGCAGGGGTGAGAGTGAGAGGATTCACCAGAGACAAGAGTGGGGAGCAGAGCAGGCAGGTTTACTGAAATGCACTGCGAGAGGGAACAAACAGCAGGTGAGACAGGAGAGGTCTGCTGCACCATCTGGGTTAACTCCCTGACCAGGGATAGAGCTCAGGCAGTAGTGGTGATAGTTCTGAGACTTAACTCCTAGGCCACCAGGGAGGTCCCTGGCAAATATCATACATAATACATTAAAAGCCCTAGTCATAAAAAGATAAAATCAATAAATTTCTTAAAAATTAAGGATTTCTCCCTGGTGGCGCAAGGGGTTAGCCTCAGTGCTATCAAGCTATAGGCAGCCACTGCAGCACGAGTTTGATCCCCGCTCAGGCGCAGCAGACCTCTCCTGTCTCTCCGGCTGCTCCCCTCAGCAGTGTATTTCAGTCACTCTGCCTGTTCTGCTCCCCACTCTGTCTCTGGTGAATCCTCTCCTTCCGGCACCTCTGGCCTCCACCCCAGTTCTTGCATGCATGCATAAATAAATTCTTAAAAATTAAGGATTTAGGTTCATCAAAGGATAACATTAAAAGAATGAAACGTGAGGCACAGACTGGGAGAAGATATTTATGCCACACTTCTTAGACAAAGGACTCTCATCCAGACAGAGAACTCTTACAGTTCATTAAGGCAGACAACTCCCTACACCTGGGCCACTTCGCCACAAGCGCAAAAGCGCATCAAAATAATCAAAACGCACATGAAAAGTTGCTGAACATCACTCAGCATTTGTAAATTTAAATCACAATGAAATACACTCTTTGCATATTAAAAAGACCAACAATACCAAGGCTGGTGAAGCTGTGGAGCCCCCAGAAGGGGCTGGCGCGGGAAATGCTGCAGAGGAAAAGGGAAAAGTTTCTTCCCCCAGCACCCAGCAGAGCCTCAGCGCGAGCTCGATCGATGCTGATAAATAACAGCCTCTATTGGACACAGCGCTTGCCACACACTTTACATCCGGCGCTGCACGCACAGCTCTCCACTTTCTTAATACTTAGAAAATCCTACAAAGCTGCCTTTTAGCCCCATCACCCGGGCTGGAAATGGAGATTTATGGAGGGTTGAGTTACATGCCAAGATCTTGCAGATAGTTAAGTGGTGAGCGGAGATCCCAGCGCAGGATAATCTGAATTTAGAACCCGGACTCACAATCGCTTGTAATGGAACGCGTGGAGGGTGTCCAGGCCCCGCCCGCACGTTACATAACCAGCGCCCGAGCCTGCGCTCCCTGCAGGGCCGCTGCCCGGGCGGGGGGCTGGAGATGGGGCTCCCCACGACCCAGCACCTGCACACAGGTGGGCCCTCCCTGCGGCCTCGGCGCCCAGCAACTGCGCCGGCCCCTCCCCGCTGACCACCCCTCCGCCTCCCGTGCATGCACTTGGGGAATCAGGACGTGTCCTCCGCACCCCCTGACCCCGCACCCCCAAACCCCTAACTTTTTTCCTGCTTCAAAGTGCACGTCGGAGCAGGCGTGAGTGTCCCTTCTCGCTTCTGCACGGACACCCTAAGAGAAAATCCTCCGAGAAGCCGAACAGGCCTGTGGAGGGGGAGGCCGGAGCTGGGGGAGGCCGGCGGGGGTCGGGGCGCAGCGCGCCCCGCGGGCCGAGCAGCGCGCAGGGGAGCCCCAGCTGCTCCCGAGCTCAGCGCTGCCGACACAGCCCCGCTCTATTGCGCCTGCGCACTCTCCCCCGTGCAGCCCGGACCCCGCCCGCCGCGAAGGTTTACTCGTTGCTCGGCAACCATTCACGCGCGCAGCCAATCAGCGGGCGCGCTTCCGCCCGGCCCCCGGCGTCAGCGCCCGGGGGCGGGGCCCGGGGGGCTGGCCCCGCCCCCTCCCCCCGCCGGGAGGCGCGGCCCGGGGGGGCGGCGCGGGGCGGGGCGTGGCCAGGCCGTTTAAGACCCGAGGGGGGTGCGGCCGGGCGGCTCACTCGGTCCAGCTGCGTGGGGCCGCCGCGACCGCGCCGCTCCCGCCGGGGCCGCCCACCCACGCGCCCGCCGCGCCGTCCCCCCTCTGCACCCAGGTTAGTCCGCGGCCCGCACCCCCAAAGGGCGACGCTGCGGCGAGCGCTGCCGGGGGCTGCCCGGCGCCCGCGCTCAGGTCCCGGCCGAGCCCGGGGCGGGGGGGCGGGGGGAGCGCACAGGTGCGGACACCTGGCGCCCCCGCCCCCCTCGGCTCTCGCAGCGGCACCCCGTTTCTGCACCCCGCTCCCGAGGGCCAGGCGAGGAGCGCCGAGGGGGGCTGCGACTTTCCAGAGTTCAGCAGCCCGGCTCGGCGCGTTCCAGAAAGTTCCTGCACCGCGCGCCCCGCGGCTGGGCGGCCGAAGAGGGGGCGTGGGGCCCCCGCGGGGCGCCCCCCACGAGCTGCCGGCCCTCGGGCTGGCGGGGTGCGCCCCCCCCGCACGCACCCCCCGGCGCGCGCTGCGCACATTCGAACGCGGCGGTTTCGTAGCAGCAGTTGGAGGCGCAGCGGTCGGGGCCGGTGTCGGCCCGGAGTGGGGGCCCCCCAGGCTCCAGGCCCGGGCCTGGTTTGGGGTGACGATGCGGAGATCCCTCCCTTAGACCATGGACGCCCAGAGCCGCAGAGCGGCCCGAGCGAGTGCCCTGAGTGCTGCGCGTCTCTTGGAAACTTCCCGGGAATACGGGGTTCGTGACCCGACTTCTCCCTTTTGGGGACCAGGAGCCTCGGCAGTCGGGGGGCCCGATGGGCAGGAGCTCGGGGGAGGTGTGCAGCCGGGCCTGCCGGTGCAGGAAGGGGGTGTGGGGTGAGGATGAAGAGCTTGGAGAGGACAGGTTGGCAGCCCCAACACCTGAAGCCCGGGGCGCGCTGGAAAGCAGAAGGCGCTACCTGCAGTCAGGGGGAGCCCCCGTCCTGCGAGTTTCTTTGGAAAAGGAACCTGCAGACCCCTCCTGGCTAGAGCCGGGGGTTTACAGCTGGGCCAGGGGGAGGGACCCCTCACCGCCTCCCTGGGTCTGGCTGGGCTTCTGCAGGGCTGGCCGAGCCCTGTCTCCAGCCGGGACCTGCTTTTTAACTTGTTGGATTGTTTCCTGGGGGTTAACATGCGAGGAAGAGCTTGCAGTGCACTCACCTTAAGCGTCTATAAAGACCATGTCATGGTTTGTGTTGTGCAGTTAGCATTTCAGGGTATTAGGTGGGGCTGGGGGTGGCGAGGAGCCAGAGGCGCCCCAGGAAATCAAGTTAAGATGATTAAAGCCTCCTGAAGGAGAATGCTGGCTTGGGGCAGTTGGGGGGTGGGGTGGGGGGTGAGGGTGGCCACTGCTGGCTACACTGACCTAGTCCAGTGAGTAACTTGGCAGGGGAGCCAGCCAGGCAGCCTCAGACGGTGGCGGGAGCACTTTCCAAGAGTCTCAGTGCAGCTGCAGTCCCCAGAGGTGTCCTGCTGGGGAGCAGACCTGCTGCAGGACACCCCGCAGTGAAGGGGGGCCTGGGGACTAGGAGAGAATGCTGACTTTTCTCTTCGCTTTCAGGGAAGCAGTCTGAGCGTGACCAGCAGTGGGTCTGTCCTTTGACATTCTTGTTTGTGAAGATGGAAAACTTACTATCTCTGGAGTCAAGCTTTTACTTGAGATAACTGAAACCTTGTGCCCTCAGGTATACCCCTCTCTTTAGAGCCCCTTTATTTTCCATAAGGAGTTTTTACAAAGCAGATTTTGGTATGTTGTATGTCATTACTCGGGTGGCTGTGGTGAGAGCCCCGTAACACCAGACTTAAAAAAAAAAAATTGTGTTCTGCCAGGAAGCCTCAAAACTGTGGCCAAAAGCAAGATCCCTCACGTCCTAAGTGACAGTTGGGTGTAGGCATAGCTGACAGCAACCGTTTATGTTGTGTCTCTTCCCTAGCAGCTCCCTTGTATCCAGAAGTTAAGTTGGGGTACTTTGGAAGGGAAGGATTTGGCTCTTGGCCTGGGTGTCACAGAAGGAGGTGATTCAGTAGAGCGCCAGAGGCTCTCCCTTAGTTTCCTTAGCTCACCCCCAACCTGAGTTGTGCGAGCTCCTCCAGCTCCCGGCAGCCCCACACTTAGCCTCCATCCGCCCGTGTTCAAGGCCAGGGCACACTACCCATCAGCACAGAGAGGTCTCCGTCCTTCTGCAATCCAAGGAACACAGGGCAATAAAGATAACTCAGACCGGACCATAGTGCCCTTGTTCTCATAGCACCAGTGGCTGAACACGCTGCCTAAGAGTCAGAAAACATTTTTTTTTTCTCCAGCTGTTCAAGTGAGTAGTACCTGGTCTTGGGTATCTCCTCCCCTAGATACCTGGGCTCAGTCCCGGGAGCAAGCTTATCCCAGAGCTCCGAGTGTTAAACCTGCTGAGCCGAGAAGAAAATCTCAAGTTCAAGTTTCGTTTCTGAGCCAAGTTAAACAGGTGTTGTGTTTGCATTTGCGACCATTTCTGTTATCTTGTGGGCTCGTATGCATGTGGGGGCTGAGGGGGAGCAGGGCAGAGCCTGAGCTGACAGGGGAGAAAGCCTGCTTTTTTGTGTTGCTGGGCGGTAAACAAGGCTGTATAGAAAAATGTGTTTTCCATCTTGGCGTTGCGACTGTGTTCCACGCTCAGCGCATTGGCATAAGCTGAGTTCTGATGAAGCAAACCCCTGTGAGTTTGAAGAAATGTTCACTTACTTCAACCCAGCTGGGTTCAGCAGTGGTGCTGATCTCTTGGGATGCCCCCGGGGGCTCCTGGTCTCATCTCAAACTTTTTTTTTTTTTTTTTTTTTTTTAATCCTTTTGCAAACTCTGTAAGGAAACTTACATTTGGAATGTAAATGGGCTCCAGAGAGCATCTTTGTCTAAACCCAACTAGGGAAGGAAACCTCGTAGATTGTTTAAAATGAGTAGATTTTGTACAGCTGGGCCCTGTTGCCTGTTCTAGAGTTGTTTGCAGAACTTCTTGGAATAACAGGAAAAAACGAATATGAAGAAATAATTGCTGCTGTTAAGCAATTCTCATGCAGGGTGTTTTTCAGACTCAGGGCCTTTGGGAGTCTTGGTCACTAAACTGGGCAGTGTGTGTTTCTTGATAGTGGTGATCAGCGTCAGCAAGCAGTTAAGTGCTTCCTAGCCAGGAGCTGGTGCCAGGTGCTGTGGAGGCCCAGGGGGTGGTGTGAAAGGCCCCAGGAGGTGTGAGCCCCACAGTGTACTCAGGACTCTCCCGGCTGTCACACCCTTGTCTTAATCACTGGCTCAGGAGTTCCAGGCAGGCAGGGGTTCCTGCTTAGGCCTGGAGCCAAGCCTGGCATGTGGGAGAGCACTCTCTGTGGGGATGCAGAGCCTGCTGGCACCACATTGGCCCGCCCGTTCCTCTCGAGGGAGGCCTGTGTTAAACAGGTGTTGTTCCCGTAGGCCCAGGTGCTATAGCTTTTGAATCAGAGGGTTGGTAGGATGGAGATGGACCTGGAGCTCACTGCCCTCCTGCCCTGCTCCTTGTATCCCAGCTCACGCTCCTCTTCCATAACTTTGCCCCATTAACTCTTACCTCCCACACAAATAGATTCAGAATCTCCCCAGTCTCAAAAGCAGGGCAGTTTCTGGGTCCTTTTTTAAGTGGAATCCTCAGGGGTGTAGGTTTGGAAGAGGCACTAATTAGTCCACAGCTGAAACTGCTTAAGCTGAGCTGCAGCCCCGGCTTCCCTCCACCCCAGGCCAACCTCCCTCCCAGCCTCTCTCCCAGCCTCTCTCCCAGCCTCTCTCCCGGGTCACTTGGTTGCTGGTTTTGCTGATTCTTTCCTTTCCTTTCCTTCTCTCTCATGATATCTTTTCCCCTCTCTTTCCCTCATCCCCCACTGCTCTCCCTGGCCTGCTTTATGGTTGGTCTGGTTGCCTCTGGTCGGTTCTGTGTCCCATGCACCCCAGATGCCACTCAGGAACTCCCTGGAGCCACCCTCCAGCAGCTGAGCTCCTTGGCAAGACCCGTACCTTTCTAACCTGTTCGCTCTTGACCCTCCTGGATGAGTCTTGCGCCCCTTTGCTTCCTAGGACACATACTCCAATGTTTAACACTGATGCTTCTCTTTCCCAACTCCTTCACTCCAGCTTTGAACTCTTTCTGGAGGCTTCTGATGCCCTCTGAGGATGGTCTCCTCCCAATCTCTGCTCCTCAGTACTGCTTGATAGTCATTCCTTGCACTGTATTTTCTAGTTTTAAAAATCTCTGATTGCTCGAGCACATAAGGTCCCAAATCCATCTCCAGATTTGCTACCTGCCACATATTTTGAGAAGAAAATTATCCATGAATCTCAAGCCCTCTTACGCCCTTGCCATACTTTGCTTCTCCCACCTTGCTTAGCCCCCATGAAGACAGAACAAGGGGTGATCCGCCCCCTTACCTTCCTGTCGGCCCCTTTCTCCCAAACACACCCTCTTTGGCCCTGGCCTGTGCTGGTGACAGCAGCAGCAGCTGACTCTGTGAGGTCCTGGCCGGCTCCCGCCAGCCCCGTGAGGGACTGTGCAGTGGCGACAGTAGGAAGAGAATGATCCATAACAGAGCTGCGTCCCAGTCCTGGCAGAGCCTTTACCTCTCCAGGCTTCGCTTTCTTGTCACGAGGGCAGTAGGCCAGCACCGTCCAAGAGAAATCTAACGAGAAACACCATCAAGTAGTGACTTTCAAAAGGCAAATCAAACAAGCGCAATTAGCTTTAGTAATTTAGCCTGTCCTTTTAAAATACTGTCTTTTCAGGGCCTCCCCTGCTGGTGCAGCGGTTGAGCGCTGGGCTGCGAGGCTGCCCGCAGCCTCTGCAGCGCTGGTTCGTTCCCCGGCCGCCGGCGAGGGTCCCACAAAAAAAAAAAAAAAACTATCTTTTCAGTTTGTAAGCAACGTAGAGCCATGTGTGAGGCATTTCACTTAGGGTCCTGAAGTCGAGTGTGGCATTCATGTTCACACCCATGTCGAGAGCTGACAAGCCACATGAGGCTTGTGGCTGTGGTTTGGGGCAGTGTAGGTCCAGGCCCGCTGCAAAACTGTTTCAGCTTCTGAGTCTACTTGTGGGGAGCAGGAGTTAACAGCGCAAAGCTCGGGAAAAAGAGCATGAGCTGGGATAGAACGGGCAGGGCAGGAGGGCAAGGAGCTTCGTCTCCATCTTACAGTGCGAGCAAGCTCCTAGGACCACCGGGAACATAGCGAGCGCTCAGCTCTTTGCAAGAGTGGAAGGAAATTCGGTCACTGTGGTGAACAGGCTGACAGCCACTCGCCCTGGAAGTCAGAGCTGGCACTGCAGCACCAGCTGCTTGATTCCCAGTTCAGTGTCCCTTTGGTTTCCCTGGAGCTTCTTAGAGAGGTATCAGAATTTCAAAGAACTGCAGATAAAAATCTGAGACCGAAACAGGGTGGACTCCACCAGTTTATCAGCGGATGAAATGACTGATTACAATTTGAATGAAAATGCAAGAGGGAAAAACTCAAGTACAAGGTGTCTGAGATACTTAACCTCACCGCATTCCCCGGGAGATGTTCAATTAGCAAGTTGAATGCTAATCAGCCCCGGCAGCTGTATTTGTGGCTTGTACCCTGCATTCCCCACAGGCACACCAAAGACAAGGTGGTGGACCACCTGAGGTATAGTTGGTGCAGAAATAGTTTCCATTCCCTGGTCTGACTCCCTCACTTAATCCCATCCCTCTACCCCCCACTCTGCCCGCTGCAAAACTTCTGTTCCTTTGTGGCATTTATGCTGTTGTCTGGGGAACTGCTGGTGCTTCTCTCAGGCTGGTGCCATGCTCAGTTCCCTTAGGTCAGGTGCCTTTATGTGAATGTTAACCCCACAGGGGAGGGTCTGTGCAAAACTGGAACTGTGGGTGTAGGTACATCCTCCCTGTACTGGAGGCCAGCCGCGTGTGGGTGGGGTGTGCATGTCCATCCAAAGTGTGATCAGAGCTATAGCCATTCCAGCAACTAGGAGTTGCTCGTCTCCTTCCCAATGACGTCCACGATGCAGCTGGTTTCGAGACAGGAACTGTTAGTGAACTGAGGTTTCATGTTGGATGACTGACAACTGTTCAAAGCCCTGATCTGGAGAGTCAGTGGAGATGGTAGACGCCACCCCTTGATAAAGCCTGGAGGCTCTCAGTTTGTAAACCCATGGATTTTATGTGAACTTGGCCATCTGTATAGTAGAGCATCTCCTGTCCTATTTTTCTTGGTCTAGTTCATCTCCAGAACTAGAGCCTTGGGGATCTCTTAAATGAGTTCAGACTGGCAACATCTCGGAGGCAGAAAAAGGCATTCCGTGAGAGTGGAGCAGGGGTTCCGAGTTGCAACCAGGATTATTTCTAGTTCGTGTTGCATGTGTAACAGTTAACCCTGTGACAGGGCCTCCCTGGTGGCCTAGGGGTTAAGTCTCAGCGCTATCTCAGCTGCAGCCTGAGTTTGATGCTGGCCAGGGAGCTGACCCACGTGGCACAGCAGACCTTTCCTGTCTCCCTGCTGCTCCCCTCAGCAGTGGATTTCATTAGACTTATCTGTTCTGCTCCCCACTCTGTCTCTGGTGAATCATGTATCCACCCCCGCCCCCCCGAACCTCTGGCCTATACCAGAGTAGTTGTTCTACACACACACACACACACACACACACACAATTGTTCTACACACACA